ACCATGTTTGGACAGAGGGCAGACTGAGAGAAAGATTACTATAGTTATCCTAAAGCAGGGATAGGGATGCTGTTGGCCTACATTATCCCTGACTACTGGCCATGCTAGCTAGGACTGATGTAGGATGGATTCCAACAATATCTGGAGGGCCATAGGCTTCCCATCCATGTTTCAAAGTTTTCAAAACCAAAACAAATATCCATTCAACTATGAAGGGATAAACAGTTGGGAAACAAAGTATACCAAGCTGCCACAAAAAGGGGATTTATGAATAAACAAACAAAAGCATCTTTTATATTATTTGATATGCAGGTGATCTGTTCTGATGTACAAATTTTGTAACCAGAGGCTATGATTGTCAATGGATCATCTTTCCTTCTGTGTAGAGTAACTTACAAAAACAATCCTTTAAAAACATGAAGTGCAGGAATCTTGGCATGTTTGAAGTATCAATTATGATGCATGGTGTGAAAGTTTTATGATATGCCAAGTGGCAGTCTAAGCTGGAGAGCATTCACAGTTTGTGAAAGACCACATCAGTTTTGCTGGGCTTCTGATCAACCCTCTCTCTGGACCCAAATTTTCACTTATTGCCTAAGATACCGTTCTAGTTTCATTTTTACTGCAATTGGTATACTTCTTCTTTGAAAGTGTTAAAGAGATGATCATACATTCTTGTAAGTGCTATGTGAAGAAGGAAGACAAGAGGAAAGCTTTGAGTAAGTGCATACCATTTATCTACCTTACATATCTTTTCTTACCCACATCCACCCTGTATTAACAATCCTAAAAAACAAGATTATTCCGCTTCTATAAAGAAAACCAGCATGTTTTAAACCAGCAGTGCTTGATAACCTCTTCAATACAAACACCCCAATGGCTCCCAGCTTCAGATAATTCCAAACCACCAACCTTTCCTTACACAGTCAGCATTAAATAAAAGCCATTTTTCAAACAAAGGAAACTGGTGGATTAAGCAGAACCATTTTTTCCACAACCTAAAAAAACAATGCTTCATGTACAAGAAATCACATAAGCACTTCACAGCTCTTCTTGAACTTCATGATAATGGCATGTTGTATAAAGAATTATTAGCACTTAATTATTCCAGTGGAGTGAGATTCGCATTATAGACTCATTTTAACAAATGGGCAAAAAGTACAGATATAGCTAGATAGATAGATATTGCTTTTAAAACTCTTCAATAACATAATGTCAACACCTCTTAATTTCCTGATGCAAAATAGTACAAAAATACATAGTTACATATAAAAATAAAATATTACATTAATACAATGTTACTAATATATAAAAATCAATATCAATTATTCCTCAATTATTGATTTCAACTTTGCATCTGAACTTCAACCTTTCACAGGAAACAGAAACCACAAGAAAGTATTCTTCTGATTTTATAGACAGTATATTGGAGCTATGGTTACTAAGATTTGATGCTTAAATACACAAGCATCAATAAGTAAGTTTAAACTGCCAAAACACTCTTTGTAAACTACTCTTAAATACACAAGCATCAATAAATAAGTTTAGTCCTTAAAGTGCCAAAGCACTCTTTGTTGTTTGCTGCAACAGCTGCACATACTAACCTTCTGGGATCAAGAACTTCGGATGTTACAATTAATTTATACTTCCTTTCATTCTGAAAACTATCATTCTTCAAAAGCACATATGAAGGTTACATTATGACCTAGGCCTTGGGTGACTTCACAACCGCAGAAGATAGAGAAATGATCCAGACAACAAAATGTTGTGTTATACTTAAAAGACTCTAAGATGCTAGCATACCAATGATGACAACAGGGACTACATAATTATTCAGACTTCAGAATATTATTGCTTTTGAAAGATCCAGCTTTTGAGCACAAGAAGTCCCAATAATCTTTTGGAATCGAATGGGATTAAACACACAATGGGCTTGTAGCCAGAAATACTGCTGCAGGAGGTGGAGGACACCAAAGATACCTGATGGGGGCTATCACAAGTCAAGTTAAACATTAAAATAAATGCTTAAATTCTTATCAGTCACCACAGTGCCTTTGCAGTCACTGGTCAGAACATTGTAAGCAACTAATACTTCTTATTGAACTAAGTAAAATAGTGCCTGCCTCTTATGTATTGCTTTGTAAAGAGTGTCTAGATACTGGCTTTTTAAAAAAAAAAAATTGAAAATACAAGAAGAGCTCAAAAGGGGGTGGGTTTTGCCCTGCAAAACAGTTTATATATTTGCAGAAACAGGATCGAAGAGTACATCATAAACAAATCAGTATTCACAAAGAAATATTTAATCACAGAGTAAGACGTGGGAAATGCACATTGTTACAGCACCACATAGTAGCTGGAGCCCCTGGTAAGTCAGAGGGAGTTTTCCCTGAAAGTAATAGGAAACACACTCACACCAAGCAACAATCAGATTCAATATATGTTTTGCAATATGCAGCAGAGTAACTACATTTCATGTCAACACAGTTTCTCCACATCAAAGGGTAACAAGTAGATTTCTAGGTAGACAGTGTTTTATGCATGCTGTTGAATACATTATGAAACATACAGCACTAATGAAACAGCATTACTGAACATGTATAAAACACCTTAGAGTGTTCAAAGTACTTCAGATACATTATCTCAGAAATCCTTGCAACATCCACATAAGATAGCCTAGTATTAGTCCCATACTGCAGATAAAGATTGAGGCCAAGAGATAGTGACTTTTCCCAGCAAACTTATGACTGAGGTGAGACAAACTGGGCAATTTCTCAACTGGCTTGCTACTCTAACTTCAGGATGAAAACTTTCATCTTCCAGGACTGCAGTTTTTAACCATACATGTAAAACAAGACTGCTAAACTCCAAGTAAGCAGACTACAATACAGTATCTTATCTGGTCAAAGTGTTAACAGAAGACTTCAGACCTTTGAGGCATCAGGTTAAGAATGTTCTTTATTTAGAGGCAGATTCCATTATGATGAGAGTCACTTGACAATATTCATTCACTGACTTCTTAGGGAACAGATATTTTAATTTCAGTTATTTGGAAGTTGCAATGTAAATTCAGAAGATTGGGGGGGGATCTAAAAGCTACTGACCTTACTAATGAAAGCAACAGCATTACTTTGCTTTTGGGGGGCAGGGGGGCACAGCAACAGGTAAATCCTATTCAAGGATAGCCAGGTATACTGATATTGTTTGATAAAAGCATTTTACATCCACACCACCTTTCCTTTTAGCCCATTTTAAAAGTCTGCTTTAAACTTCCCACTTTGCCAGGACTCACAAGTGGGTGAAAACCTGACTTTGTTTGATCAGCAGGAGAGGAAAAGTGCAGAAAAGGACAGGACTCCCAGTTTTACACCAAAGGTGGTTTCTGCAGGCCCAGCTTCAATTACCCCACATCACCTGAAATTCTCTCTTCTACCCAACTGTAAGAAGCCCCGCTGTCCTCCTCTGCACCTGCTCTTCCTAGAAAGGAAAAAATCAAAGCACTAGAAGCTGACTTATACCACATAATTTCTACTCTGACTAGCAATGATCTTCTAGGGTCGAAGACACGGGTCTTTCTCATCACTTGATAACTGATTCCACCCAGCACCACCTTTCTATTTTAACAAGAGATGCTGGTAATTGAACCTAGGACCTTCTATGAGCAAATAAGCACTACTACTGAACTTTGGATCTCTCCCCAATCCCAAGTCACGAACACATATACAAGACCTGGGTACAGGTTGAAATTAAAAAGTGGGTCTTCGGTCTGGTAAGAGGCTCTGAAAAAGCAAGTCTTCAGTCTGCAAAAGAAAGGGGCTGTCAACATTTCACTCCGAGTCCCCACCCCCACTAATTTTTGACAACTGTTGCAATAGTGGCAGGATCTCATTCCTACTGCAAATGTTGCATACACGACCAACTACCAAAGTAATCACAACCAGAAAGTCTGGTACTGTAATATCAAGTGATGGAGGGATGGAGAAGACCACATACCCCCAAGAATACAATTGGTAACTAGCTCAACAATCAAGGAGTCAATGTGTCACTGGAAATGAACTGCCATCATTATCAAGTCCTGGGATTAAGGGAAGAGGGGGAAATAAAACTAAGAAAAAACAAAACTTTCCTGCTTTAATATCCTTCCCCTGCACCCTGCCAAGAATCTATTTTGTCCAATTTCAACTACAAAACAACCCTATTCTGCCCAGCTGGTAATGTCTCTGTCAAGCCTCATAAATGAATTTCTCCTGTCTGTCTTGACAACCCTGAACTAGCAGTACTAGCAGTACTAGCAGTTTAACACACCCATCACGGCCAATTTGAGAGTTATGTTTTAACACCGAAAGTTAAACATACATTGTACTCAGCAAGCCATTTGTGTTTGAACAGCCCAATCCTAAAACCCTACCTCCTCAAAAATAAAGTTAAACGGGGTTTCCTTCCAGGTATGCAAGCAAAAAACTGCAACCTTAACCTCCAGAAACAAACCCTATCAAACCTAGTTTGTTAGTCGTGCTGCAACCTCCCCCCCCCCGCCCCACTGCTTTGCTTGCTTTCCTTGCCAGTAGTGGCATTGCGCTCAGCCCTTTCAAAACTAAACCTATACCCACCAAGTCTGACGGTTTCGCTCTGACCCGCAAACGGGGCGAGGTTGGAAAGTCAGCCAGCCCCACTCCTCGTGTGATTTTTGCATTGAAATCCTAAAACACACGCACACACATATACACACACCCCAACTAGCAGAGAGCGTTTCCCCTTTGAACGCGTAGCGGGGCTTGACATCTGAACAGCCATGCTCAGGGCTGCGCTGTCAATCCCCGCGGCGGCGGCGACCCTTCCCTCCTCGGCAAGTCATTCCCCCGGGGGCTGGAAAGGCCGGCAGGGAGAGCCCCATCCGAGGGGTTCCCCAGCTGGGACTAGCCGCCACCATCACAACCAGCCCACCCACCCAGGCTCCGTCAAGCCCTTCGCCTATCGGGCCCGGCGACGGCTGCGCTACTCACAGTCGAGGTGCTTCTTCTTGGGGCCCATGACTTCGTGGGTCGTGGCCTTGCAGACGGCTTTGGCGACAGCCGAGCCGGTGACACTGTGCTGCGCCGCCGTGATCCGGTCCGTGATCGACTGGCCCGACATGTCGACGACAAGGAGGAGGAGGAGGAGGAGGAAGGTGGTGGTGGTCGCGCGGCCTTGAGGCTCTTTTCTTCCAGCTCCCCTTTGGACCCCAAAATGTAGCGGCGGCGGCGACAGGGCGAGGAATTCCCCGGCGCCCAAATCCCCTCAGCAGCAGCGGCGGCAGCCCAGAGAGTAGGAGGAGGAGGGCCGAGAGGGCAACGGGGCGGCAGGGAGGAGGAGGAGGAGGAGGGCCGGCCACCGCCCCACCAAGGAGAAGCCCAGCCCAGTGCACCGGCCTTGTTGGAGCCTCCTCCTCCTGCTGCCGCTGAGGGGTTCAACCGAGGCCAGGCGGACGGAGGCTCCCTCCTTCCCTCAGAGGACTCCGGCTCGCTCTGGCGGGCGCCTCTGCCTCAGACAGATCCTCTCCTTCTCGCCCTTCCGCCTGCCTGCCTGCCTGCTTGTCCGCCCTCTCAGCTGGGACCCCGTCCCCTTTCTACCTCCTCCTCCTACACCACGCCTCCCTCCTCCTCCTCCTCCTCCTCCTCGCCGATCTCTTTCCCCCTTTCGCGTTCCCACTCCCAGACAAAATGGCGGCGGAGCTGCGGCGGCGTCAGGTGACGGCCACCATGGTTCGCCCGCCTGTCGCGCTTCCCTCCACGCCTCAGCCCTCTCGCTGGCCCTGGGGGGATTCCGCCCGCCAGAATGTGTGCCGGCGGGCGGGCGGGCTGGTGGTGCACACACACGCTCCTTGTCTTACAAGCACAAGCACGTACACTCGCAAGTGCACACACGCGCCAGGCTCGCTTCACCATCCATGCCTCACCCTGTCATACACACTCACTCGTCCCATCCCTCACTGTCGCTCCATCTCTCTCACACACACCTGCACACATTCGGTCCATTTCTCCCTCCTAACAGAAGCTCACTCCAGCCCTCTTTTTCTGTCTCTCTCGTACACATTAGCTCCATCACTCTCTCACACACACATTCACTCCAACTCTCACCCAAGCTCATTTCTCTCACACACATAACACATATAGCACACATTCCCTAGACTGGATGGATGGGAGGTTGCCTGCTCTTGATTGGGTTACATTCCCTCTGAAGGAACAGGTATGTCACTTGGGGTTTCTTCTAGATCAGGGGTCTGCAACCTTTAAGACAAAAAGAGCCACTTGGACCCGTTTCCGAAGAAAAAAAAACCTGGGAGCCGCAAAACCATTGCGACATTTAAAACAAATATATCTCCGGAGCCACTATCTGACAGCGGGCGGGAAGGTGACGTCGGGACAGTGAGCGTGACTAACGCACACACCGCCCCCATGCGACATCACAGCAAGTACAGCGCCTGCCACAGTGGGGAATGTCGGGGCGCACAATGTGCCTCCTCCCCTCGCTAGTATCCGCCCGGAGCCGCGGCAAAGGTGTAAAAGAGCCACATGCGGCTCCGGAGCCGCGGGTTGCAGACCCCTGTTCTAGATCCTTTCTTGAGGCTCAGGTGGCCTCAGCAGCCCTGAGTGCCTCCCATCCACTTTGGCTGGTGGCCCAGTTGTACACCTATTTGGACTTCTGTCATCTTATGCTCTGGTAACCTCCAGGTCAATTACTGCAATGTGTTGTAGGTGGGGCTGCCTGTGAAGATAGTTCAGAAACTTCAGCTGGTGCAGGATTTGGCTAGCTGGTTGTACACTGGGGCAAGAGTTTGAGCATATTACACCGATCCTGGCCCAATTACACTGGCTGCCAATTAGTTTCCACACCCAATTTGAAGTGCTGGCTTCAACCTATAAAGCCTTAAACAGCTCAGGACTGCAATACCTCAAGGATCACCTCATCCCATATGAACCAACCTGGATCCTGCCATCGTCATGTGAGACCCATCTTTGTGTGCTTCCTCCATGAGAGGTCTGGAGGGTGACAACATGGAAATGGGCCTTTTCCGCAGTGGCTCTGTTTGTGGAATGCTCTCCCCAGGTAGGCTGTCTTGGTGCCTTTGTTATACACAGTCTTCTTTTTTACCATGCGAAAAGGTTTCTCTTCAACCAGGCGTTTGGCTGATTAACATTCTATGGCCTTTTCAATGTGTTGGGGGTGGAGTTATTGGTCTCTTTGTTTTATTATGCATTTTGTGTTCTCATTTTGCATTTTATGCTGTGAACTTCCCTGTGATAGTTGGATGAAGGGCAGTCTACAAATTTAATAAATCATCATCATCATTCTATTGATCTCTCTTAATACACACACCCCATCACTATCTCTCCCCCCCACACACACTTGCATCCCTCTCTCACACAGGCTCCCTGCTCACTCTATCTCACACACGAAAACATTCTCTATCCATCTCTCACTGTCCGCCCACCTCTCTCTCGCACACAAACACAAACACTCCCATCTCTCTCACATGCATGCCCTCCGTATCTCACTCATGCTCACATACATACTGTTTCTCTCTCACACACGTAGACATGTGCACATACCGTCTCTCTAACAGACATACAGTCATTACATCTCTCTGTCTCACATACTCATTTTATCCATCTCTCTCACACTCCAACCCTCCACACACATACACGTATCCCTGATGGGTCAGACCAAAGATCCTGTGCCTAGCATACTTCAGAATCCTGTTTCCCACAGTGGCAAGCCAGATGTCTCTGAGAAGCTCACAAGCACATCATCATAATTACTGATATATTGCTTCCCCTCTCATTGGGACTCATGAGGGCAATAGCAACACTTTCCTGCAATTTTTTTCCTCTCCCCAACCAAGCAACTGCTATTCATAATACCTCTAAACATGGAGGATTTGACTGAACAAACATTAAGCTAACCAGCCTGTAGTTTCCTGGATCTCTTCAGAAAGTGTTTAAAAAATTGCCATTACACGGGCCACTTTCCAGTTCTTGGGTACAGAAGCCATTCTTGGGGATGTTACATAATTTTGTTAGAAGATCAACAATTTCCTATTTGAGTTCTTTAAGAATTCTTAACTGGATATTTTCTAGATCCAGTGGCTTGATTTCATTTTATTTGCCCATATGTCCTAGAGGTATTACCATTATTTGTCTTCATTACTTTGACTCCTTTCTTTAGAAAGTTTAGGCACAAAGATCTAACCTACGTCTTCTGTAGTAAATATAGATGCAAATAATTCATTCAGCGTGTCTGAAATCTCCTTTTCCTCCCGTATGCAGCCTCCCTTTCCTCCAAAGGTCCAACCACTACCCTAGCCTGTTTCCTGCTTATAATCTATTTTAATAAGTCATTGATTATGATGATTTTAAATTGTTTTTTTTTGGGGGGGGCAATATGCTTTTTTGCCTCCAATAAATTAACTATGTGTGTTAACCATGCTGGCAGCTTCTTGGCCTTGGTGGTACCTTTGCTGAACTGGGATATATTCCAACTCAGCTTCTGGCAAGAGTGTCCCTTCAGATGGCAGTAATGCAGCAGCACTGGAGAAGCATTGCAGAACAACTAATAAAGCAGAGTGATGTTTGAATGGTCCAGTACAAATCCACTATTAATAAGCTATTATTGCATCAATGGCATGTTGCAGAATACACCTGCAGAAATCCTCCCACTGTTCTGGAGGGCTCCTTGATAATTTTCCATGCACAAAGTGACACCACCTTCAGTATGCCCTTCTCCAAAGCAGTGCCCCCAGAAGCTGAAAATGCATTGTTGTTGTTGTTTAAAAAAAGACTAAATCCCACATGGGTTGAAAAGTCACTGGGAAAGGGGGAGGATATGTTCAATCATGAAATCAGGTTGTGAATCTGCAGGTGTCCTCGGTCGCTGTAAAATTCTGTACCCTGTTTGAGGTCTCATAGGTAACTGGGCAGAAGGTTTAATTCAGTCCCTAACTGCGTTACTAGCAGATAAAATATTGGAGGAGGATGATTGAGAGGCACAAAAGAAGCATTAAAGTGCCAAATTATGCAATTCTCCTATAGGAGTTCATCTGCATGACATTCATTCAGAGCAACCATTTGCACACTTCAGTTCCCTTTTTGACAGGAAATTTTGTAATTTTCACAAAACATAGCCTTGAAATTGAGACTGTTGCCAAAGACGGGTTTTGCTCCCATTTGACCATGTTTGTTGTAATTACTAGCTAATGTAAATGTAAGCATGCTGAGTTCAGAATTCTTCTCAACTAGAGGAGTGGCATAAATTTAGCAACTGCACTTCTCTGAGAGTGTTAAAATCATAGCTCATAGCACATACCCTATAACAACAAGTACACTATGAAAATGAAAATTTGTATGTTAAAACATGAAAAATTGAAAACCCTCGTGGTTTCCATTGTTACTACTCAATGAATGAAATGTTGTAAATAAATAAAGTAAATGGACCCGCAACAAAATATTGTATTGTTCCTGTTCAGAGACTGTACACACTAACCCATTTGCAGAGCAAAAGCACAGTTTTTCTCAACCAGAATTATCCATGCTCATCCTCGACATGCTGCCTTCAATCTAAATTGAGTCTGCAAAGGTGGGTGTGGTTACTTGATAATGTATTTTAAAACCCCCTCCTTGGTTAGCTTATCAATGTCTTTTCCTCCCTGCACATGTCCCAGGTGAATGAAGGAAGTGGTGATTCATTCTTGGTGTGTGTGTGTGTGTGTGTGTGTGTGTGTGTGTGTGTATTCATAAAATTTACACACTGCTTGAATGTAACAGAAACAATCTTAAAGCTGTTTACAAAAAGATAAAACAAGAAAATCAAGAAAAAATTAAAGTAATAGTTTTAGAACATATAAAAAGTTAAACCACTAAAACAAGCTAAAATTCACATCAACTTTCTAAGCACCTATATAGGCTTGTCTAAAAAGAGTGTAGCAAAAAGAATTCAGTGAATATGCATGCTTGATATCAATATGCAGGGAGTTCCAAAGTGTAAGTGCTTGCACACTAAACAATCACCTACAATGCTGTTGGGCAAGTGTGGATACACACACCCCATATCTGGTTTTGCCTACATCTGCTTTGAAATGAACAAATTGGGGTAATGCAGAAATCAATCTGCAATAAATTATTTTCTGAATGAAACTAGTGTTTGAATAAGTGCTTTCCAGGGGTAAAAAATATTATGTAGCTCTAGACCAGGGGTCTGCAACCTTTAAGACAAAAAGAGCTACTTGGACCCGTTTCCAAAGAAAAAAAACACTGGGAGCCGCAAACGTGCGCGCCGCTGCCCTCCGATCTGACAGCGGGCGGGAAGGTGACGTCGGGACAGTGCATGACTAACGCACGCACCGCCCCCATGTGACGTCACAGCCAGTACAGCGCCCGCCACAGTGGAGAGTGTCGGGGCGCACAATGCGCCTCCTCCCCTTGCTAGTATCCGCCCCGGAGCCGCGGCAAAGGTGTAAAAGAGCCACATGCGGCTCCAGAGCCGCGGGTTGCTGACCCCTGCTCTAGACTGTGTGCTGACTGTGTAGAAAAAACAAGTAGACAGTCTCCATTGATTCTGGGATATGTCATGTACAGAGCCACAGTTGTAGCCAGACTGTCAAGCACTT